CCTGGTGCGGGCATACCCCCTCCGCCACCACTGCCTGGTGCGGGCATACCCCCTCCCCCTCCTCTCCCTGGTGTGGGCATACCCCCTCCCCCTCCTCTCCCTGGTGCGGGCATACCCCCTCCCCCTCCTCTGCCTGGTGCTGGGATTCCCCCACCTCCTCCATTGCCTGGTATGGGAATTCCACCTGCTCCAGCTCCCCCTCTGCCTGGGACAGGAGTCCCTCCACCTGTAGCACTGCCTCTGCCCCCTGGATCAGGCCCTCCACTCCTACCAGAAGCTGGGAGTAGCACTTTGCCAGCGCCCCAAGTGTGTGGCTTTCTTCCTCCTCCATTGCCAGCTGGCTTATTTGGATTAGGGATGAATCAGGACAAAGGGAGCAGGAAACAGCCAATAGAACCCTGTCGGCCTATGAAGCCTCTTTACTGGACAAGAATCCAACTGCATAGTAAAAGGTAATGCCAGCGCAAGCCAGAAGCTTATGGGGGGAGGAGGGGGAAAGGGGGGCACTTGCCTCAATTGCAAGTCCAAGGAGTCACCAATGGCGGCACGAGGGGGCGTGGGGTGTGGATGCCACCGGGTGATACCGTCAGAAGGGGTGACATCACATGGTCCAGAGATAAGTCCAAGGCCAAATTATGCAGGACTTGAGCTGCTCCAGAGCCCTGGTGGTGCAGTAGGTAAGAGCTGGGCTGCTGACCAAAATGTTGGCAGTTCGAATCCACCAGCCACTCCTTGGAAACCCCATAGGGCAGTTATACTCACTATGAGTTGGAATCGACTCATCTGCAACGGGTTTGGTTTTGGGTTTTGAGCTGTTCCAGAGAGCCCGTGCCTGCTTCAGCCTCGTTTCAGCACTCCTGTCTGCTGCCACTGCTCTCAGTGTCTGCAGGGATGATTCACAGACCTGGAGGCACAGCCCCAGAGCCCATCTGTCAGCCCACCTGCCTCTTGGGAAATTGGTGGAGCCATGGGCTCACTCAGCTTCTCCTTTTTGTTGCTGCTGTCAGCATCTTTTCATCTTTAAATTTGGTGGGGGAAGGGTGAGAGGGAGGCACAATTTAGAGATTACCCTAGGTGCCTGAATGGGGGCACAATTTAGAGATTGCCCCGGGCGCTCGTTAACCCTCCCTATGCTGTAGGCAGGAGCTCATGGTGGAACAGGTTGTCATTACCAGTGAAGCACTTTTCCTTAAACTCCTGGGAAAATTACAATTTAGTGTATTTTTAAGTGCAGCTCTAAAACTTGTCTGTAGATTTTACATCAATATTTATTGAAAAGATTTGTTATTTTCAAGTCTTGGCTTTTCCTCCACCAGAAAGACCAAAGAAGTAAAACAAATGGCGTCTGTGTATCAATGTATAAAATGTATGCTTGTCTGTTAAGTAGTTGCTGATGTTGCTGTCTAGTCGATTACAACTCATAGCAACCTAGGACAGAGTGGAACTGTACCACAGGGTTTCCAAGGAGTGGCTGGTGGATTCGAACTGCTGACCTTTTGGGTAGCAGCTGAGCCGTTAACCACATACACACATGCACACGCATACGTGCGCGCACACACACACACACACACACACGCACACACACAAAAGATGCAGTCAAGTTGATTCAGCTCATAGCCACCTTCCCCCTCAGTCACCCTAATTGCAGAGCCTGATTGCTACTCATACCTGAATCCAACTGAAGATATGGCTATATGCCCTCTAGGAAGTGAGTAAGGGCAGATAAGCAGTGACATTTGTGGCTAAATTATTTTCCATATGAAAACTTTCTCTTTGCTTTCACTGTATAAACTATTTAAATTTCTGTTTCTGACAAACAACTTATAAATGTAAGTCAAATCCTTGGGCAAATGTTCTCTCTTGATGGTTTTTGTATCATTTTAAAGGCACAATGGTGTTTTACTGTTCCTTTCTGTTTATAGTAATTTTTCTTCAAAATGTGCCACTCAAAAACACACACATCCACACACACACCTCCCCCATGTGTGAATTAATTTAGATTTGAGAATTTTATGGCACCTTTAATAGATGATTGGTGACACAGTAGAATCATAGCTGGGAATGATCACTAGAAAGGAGTACTTTTCACCACATTTGCTGGTGGTATTGTTAATCTCCAGGCAGAGTCCATTGCCTGCATTCCTGACCAGGAAGACAATGCTGTGTTACATGGCTGTGGAATAAGAGGGTGGCAGGAAAAACATATACTTTAAGCCTCATTGACCTTGCTGATCATAACTTTTCATGGTTCCTTGAATTTTTTTGTGTGATGTAGCATGTGTTTAGATACAGGATATTGACTAGGTCCATTTTCATTTCTTATATTAATTTTATTTTTACTGAATCATAATAGAGAAGAAGGATTTATATTTCCTGTTTCTCACTTGGTAGTCCAATCACTGTATAATTGCAGTCTTACTTACATATGCTGATGAATCATTTCACAGTGTACCCAGAACTCATTATCTCCAGGACATTGCATGAAGTTCTTTTGTTCTTAGCTTGCTTTTTTAATGGATCTACTCTCTCAATGTGGTTTTCATTTTTAGATGGCATGAAATGAATCTGTAGTCATTGATAAGTGACGGCTGGGTGCTAGGAGGCGGTAGGGGGGTGTTGGAGGATGCGCTATTGGAAATACACTTTGTAGTTCTATGAACAATTCACAAAGCTGATGACCCAAATTGGGATTGTGCGAAATTAAGCATTTATTGCCTTCATAGCCCATATTGAGAGGGATTTTTCTTTTATATTTCTATTAGTGACTTGATAACTTGGAATTACTGACAATTATTATTTATAGGCATAAGTTTCATTATATACTCATGGTATTTTAACTTTCTTATCAAGTTGATAAAACCAATGGAGGTCTTAAAGAAAAAGAGTATTCTTTCCTGCTTATCTCCCTCCCCATTCCCTTTCTTCATTCTTTCCCCCTCCCTCCTTCTCTGTCTTCTTCTCTCTTTCTCCTCTTCCTTCCATTCTTCCTTCTTTCCTTCCTTCCTAAATTCCTTTCATTTTTTTCTCTTCTGCCCTTATTTCCTTTCTGTTTATGCTCACCATGCTATCTTGTAGTTTAATTTGGTGGTTCTTTCGTTGGTCTTTTGCTTAACTTTAGAGACTCCAGTCCTTCGCTTATTTGGGAAAAAATTGAAGAGCCATCCATAGATTGTCATGAATTTGAGGAATTGTTTTCTAAAACTGCTGTAAAGGAGAGAAAGAAACCTATTTCCGATACCATCACAAAGACCAAGGCTAAACAAGTGAGTACTCTTGTGCTTTCTGAAATTGAACAGTGCTTCTGGCAATAAGTATGAACTTTGACTGGGGAAAAACTTCCACAGACCTTAAAGAGATAGCAAAGGCTAGCATTTAAAAACTTGGAATTAAGTAAGACTTTCTCCCAAACAGAACAAGAAATAGTCATCTTCATCAAGTGATAACATCCTATTTTATTTATAACTTCATAATACATATTTCCTAAATCTCAGCAATTGCTTCTTTCTAAAATTAGTTGTGTAGAAATAATCTGTCACTTGATTTAAATCCATCTGGATGGAAAGGAAAGAAAGAATAGCAAAGTAAAACAAGCAAGAAATCTAATCCTTGGGCAGCCAGTAGTATGTTTGGTAATCTGTTTCCTTGTAATTCCAGTAAATGCTATTAGAGCCCAGCTAAACAATCACACTGTACTTCAAATATGGAAGAATATCTTATTTCCAATTCCAGCATATCTGGCCCATATTAGATCAACCTTGCTTCTAACCTATGACACCCAAGTCAGAAAAAGAAAGAATAAAGCATTTAGAAAAAAATATTTTCAACGGATACATCAAATGGTCTTGATCAGAAGATGATATTGTTGTAAATTTTTATGCTGTTCAGGGAGGTACAGTAAGACCCCAAAATAATGAGCCCAAGATAGAGGGTATTGGCTGTTGGTGCCCATCCTTCATCCTAAAGTGTGGAGTGACTACATTTCTTACCTTCTTCAGGGTATGGGAAGAAGTGCATAGAGGCAAGAAAATGGCAGGCAGCTCAGTCTTGGTAGGCGAGAAGGGGGAGATGAGGTCCCATGTCCCCAGCATTCTCCTAGCCCAGTCTCCCCAGATGAGTGCCAACTAATGGTGATTCCTTGAATTTTTACCTCTGACCTGGAGGTTGTAATGAGGCACATGACCCAGAGTTGTTCCCATTGATATTTATTTCATAGCAGAAAACTACCATCAGATGGATACAGCCAGTCCAACTAGGAAGAGATGGATTTTGAATGGTACAGAATCCTGGGATTCCTAGCTGACTGGCTAGGAGCATGAATCCCAGCTCTGCCGCTTACTAGCTTGGGAATATTATTAATGCTCACCCTAGGAATTTAGTTAATCTCAGAATAATACAAACCCTAATATTATGCAGTTGAATTTTTTAGAACCATTTATTGCATTAGAGCTGGCTGATGGCAGCCTTAGGCCATTAGTTATGGCAACTGGGACCATACCTGGCACATTGTAGGCACTCAATAAATATTTGTTAAATTAACTAATAAACCACCCACTGAGGGAGGAGGACTTAAAAAATATCAGTGACTATGCCCAAACCCAAACCAAACCCTTTGCCGTTGAGTCGATTCTGACTCATAGCAAACGCATAGGACAGAGTAGAACTGTCCCACAGAGTTTCCAAGGAGTGGCTGGTGGATTCGAACTGCCGACCTTTTGGTTAGCAGCCAAACGCTTAACCACTGCACCACCAGGGCCCCTGACTATGCCCAGAAGTGATTAAAAACCAGAAAATCATTCATGTCATAGTAATCAATAAATCCAGGATGACAATCTTAAAGATGAATAAAGGTAATTGAAAACCCACATTTTCTCTGGCAGATGTAAATAGTATTAAAATCTTTTCCACAGTATATTTACATAGAGCACTTCAGGATGAGTCTTCAAGTCTCTACTCAAGGACAGTGTATCAGAGATGGAAAAACCATCTTGGCAGGGCATACGGGTGGAGAGTACAGACATCGAGGAGACTCAAGCAGCCAGAATTGTCACGTGATGGATGGGCAGATGTGGCATGGGGTGTCTCTTGTCCTGGGATTAAATACTCAGAAAAGTAAACCATGCCCTCCCAACTCCCATCACCACTTTTTCTGCTAAGTGAACACAGGATAGGGCAGATGCCTCACATGTTGCCTGAGCCTATAGGATTTCATTCTTTATTTGAGGTGGTATCCAGTGATTCCAAAACCCATGGCCATCAAGTTCATTCTGACTCATAGTGACCCCACAGGACAAAGTAGAACTGCCTCATAGGGTTTCTAAGGCTGTAACCTTTACAGAAGCAGACTGCCACACCTTTCTCCCAGGGAACAGATGGCGGGTTCGAACCACTGACCTTTTGGTTAGCAGCCGGGTGGTTACCCAGTGCACCACCAGGGCTCCTATACTGTGGTTAGCTTACTAAAATTTGATTTATATCTAAATTATCAAAACTTAAACTAGTTGGCATGAAATGACCTGTTTGCATATAAACAGTGCATCCCTACTGAGCATCATCTGAATATAATCACTTCGTTCTGTCATTTGACATTTCATAAATTGTACATAAGAAGTCTCTTGTTGTAATTTGCATTTACTGACACTGACACTACCATTGACCTTCAGCTTCAAACAGGGCCTATGGAAATGTCTCCCTCATGATTGCTGGTAAGCTTGTCCAGCAACTCCTTGGCTTGGTCTTAGAACTGAGCTCTGCATTTCAGATCTGTTTTGGAGGCATAGAGGTATTTTTTTATGTAGATGAGAGAGATAAAAGTCTGCTGCAAAGTGATATATTGCTGAAGAAGCCTAACATTTACTTTCATTGGATTTGGAAGAAAACAATCCACCCATTCCATTTACTCGAGACATTTAAAATTTTGAGGCAAGTGATATTTTCACGGTGCCTATAGCTAGTTCCTCTTTTTGTGGGAAATGTTTACTGATTGTATGTGCAGACATTTTGGTACCTCATGACTCATTTCCAGTAAAATTAATAGCTTTTAATGCTGTGGCATATGTTTATGGAGTTATTTCAAGCAATCATTATATAAAATGAAAGCTAGAAGTTCTGTTTTTCTTTAAATATTTAAAAATAGCCAAATAATTTTTCTGTGATCTGTTCTCTTGAACATGAGACTGTGGTCAAATGCACTGGTATTTAATGAGGTGCCTGTGCTGTTTTTACTCTTGCAACAGAGACATTTTCAGCATGATAATGGAAGATTCCTCAGCTGGGTACATTGCCTTTTGCCTTAAGGAGAAAGAGGGTTATTCTCTGGATACCTAAACTGATAGTAATGATGTTGTTGCTGGGTTCTTTGGAGTCGGTTCTGACTCAGTGACCCCATGTGACAGAGTAGAACAGCCCCATAGAGTTTCCTTGGCTGTAATCTTTAGGGAACCAAATTGCCAGATCTTTATCCTGCAGAGCTGCTGGGTGGGTTCAAACTGCCAGCCTGTTGGTTAGCAGCCGAGCACTTAACCATTGCACCACCAGAGCTCCTTAATAGTAATGATGAGTATCTTATATTTCTATGTCCTTTATCCTCCAAGAAACAAACGACATTTTATATTTTTCTCACAGAACATGTATTTAAGTTTGTTCTGTGATGTTTTCTTAGTTTATTCTTGATTTTTTTGGAGTGTTAAACATAAGATCAGCTGAGAAGGTACGTGGGATTTTACTGGACTATATTTATATACAGTTCATTTTAAGCAAATTAGCGTGACACACTCAGAATTAAACGTTAACCTGCTAACTTAAAAAAACAGCAGTAACTTTTTGCCTTAAGGAATAAAGAGGGAAATAGAAAAAGAAAATCTCAAATAATGCCCATATTTAAATACTGACACATGCATACTTGCTCATTTTTAAGGAATGATTTAACCAAAAAAACCAAACCTGTTGCTGTTTGAGTCAATTCCAACTCATAGCGACCCTATAGGACAGAGTAGAACTGCCCCACAGGGTTTCCAAGGAGTGGCTGGGGGATTTGAACTGCCAGCCTTTTGGTGAGCAGTCGAGCTCTTAACCACTGTACCACCAGGACCCCAAGGAATGCTTTAGCGCTAGTAATAATTTATCCCAGTCTCCTCCCTGTTGCCAGGATGATTTTGTGGTTATTGATGATGGTGTTAAGGCACTTCAGGATCTTTTGTGATCAAATAAAGATTAAAGTTTAATATGAGCTTATAAACAAGAAAGTGAAATAATTGACCTTAGAATGATTTTGATAATCATGATTTGTATCAAAAAGAAGTTTCTGGTTAATCCTGTGCTAAATGAGATGATAGAAACAAAAAACCAAACCCGTTGCCATCCAGTCGATTCTAACTCATAGCAACCCTATAGGTCATAAACCAATGCATTTCAGTAAACACAGCGGTAGTAGTAGTAGTAATTATAACAACAACCACTGTAGTAATAATAATAACCATAGAATCCACAGGGCATATTGAACTCTATTTACCATGTACCAATCACTGTTCTTAACACTTGCCTTATATTAACTCATTTAATACTTATAATCCTTTGAGGTAGATGATGTAATCCCCAGTTTATAATATAGAAAACGGAGGTATAGAGCCTCCATAATAGTGATGATAGGTATCTTATATTTCTAAATATAAAATATAGTATAAATAATGTTCCCAAGCTAGGAAGTGGCAGAGCTAGGGTTTCCACTTCAGCCATCTGGCTTCAGAATCTGTACTCTTAATAACTACATTAAAAGTATAGATGTGAAATATCTTACGTATTTATATACCCATTATACCCATTGCCATCAAGTCGATTCCAACTCATAGTGACCCTACAGGACAGAGTAGAACTGTCCCCTAGGGTTTCCAAGGAGCAGCTGGTGGATTCAAACTGCTGACCTTTTGGTCAGCAGCCAAGCTCTTAACCACTGCGCCATGAGGGCTCCACGTATTTATATAGCTTAAATATAATATTTTATTGATATAGAGAGCAAAACATACATTTTTAAAAAGAATCTGAATTGTATTATATTTGATATATGCTCAATATTTAAATGACTGTAGTTATAATTTTATCCTGCAGAGATATATAGAGACACGTTGAAGGATTTTCCATATCCTAACAAATTTTGGCAAGTACATCAGCTTTGATGCCACCAAACATGATGTTTGCCTAGTTAAATAAAAGTTTATCTGATTGATGTGAGATTTAGACACATAAGCTTCTGTAAGCAATAAAAAAGTGG